TTTCGACAGTACAGTGTTTCTCACACAAGCATGAGCACCTGAGTTCCGATCCCCAGCTCCCATGGAAAAAAGCAATGCATAGTGGCTTGTGCCTATAATCCTAGGACAGGACAGAGACAGGGGGGGCCCCAACTTTGCAAGCTAGCCAGTCTTGTCAAGTCTGTATTTCCGTGACAGACCCTCTCTCAAAAGAGAAGGTGGTAGCTGAGCTCGGTAGCACAGGTTTTTCATCCCAGCACTCAGGTGGATCTCTCTGAGTTGGAGGCCAGTATGGTCTACATGGGAAGTTAAAGGTCAGACAAGCCTACATTGTAGCTTGTCTCAAAAATCCAGAACAAAGCCAGGCAGTGGTGGTAGCACACAGCATTAATCCCAGCACTTGGGAGACAGAGGCAGGTGGATCTCTGTGAGTTTGAAGCCAGCCTGTTCTACAGAGAGAATGCCAGGATAGGCTCCAAAGCTACACAGAGACACCCTATCAAACAAACAAACAAACAAACAAATGAAACCTCTAAAAATCCAAAACAAATAAGGTGGAGAGATGGAAGATACCTAACATAGACCTCTGACCTCCACATGTACACACACACATGTAAGTTCATGTGTATACAGACATCAACATGCACACATACACAGGGAAAAAATAAATTTTTAAACCACACTTTTATGTGTATGTGCTTGTGCGTGTGTCGTTGGAAGTGAGAGAACTTGAAATAGTCTTGTTATTCCTTCCACAATATGGCTTCCTGGTCCTCAGGCTTGGCAGCAAGTCTCTTTATGCACAGAGCCATGTCACTGGCCAAATAACCAACATTTTAACAACTCTTTATAACTGCCCTTGTCTTTATTTCTCCTCTACAATTTAAACTGGTTAAGCTTAAGAGTTTAAACAATAAAGAAGAAAATTCTAATTCATATTCTAAGAATGAAACAGGTATCTTGTATTACTTGTTAGAATACGGAGTTTACAATCCACATCCTACACTCAGACTAAAGTCATGGGAAGATGATGCGCTGGTACCACGTGCATGTAGAAATGGCTGGAACAGGAAGAGGACACAAGCAGGCAGGAGCAAGTGATCCCACAACTCAAGTGGGGGGATCACACAGTGCTGGGTCCGTTGTTTCTCAGCCATGTGCCCAGTAGCTACATCAGAACCGGCAGCAAGCCTCTGCAGAATAAGGGGTACTGTGGGGACCACCTGAAACCTAGAGTCAACAAACTCACAGGGACACTGTCCCCAGCTCTCTGGGAACAGCGTGGTTTTCTAAGGGTCATAACTACAGTCTAGCCTACTAGCCACATTAGTCAAAAGCCACAAACACCTGTTAGCAGGTGAGAATTCAGTGCAAGGAAGCCTTTTCCCTCACCACCCTGGAGAAAGGATGGATTCTGCGAAGTTTAATCAACTTCCTAAAACCAACAAAACAATCTTCCTACTGAGAAAGAGGCCGAGAAGTGGGTCCAAGAAGAGCCCACTGGCTTCCTGGCACCCCTTTCCTAGCATGAGCTGACTGCAAACCTGGGGGACAGCACCATGGCAATGGGCCCAGCCCTAGCCTCCATCCCCTGCACGGTCTCACACTCTCATGGGCTGCAGTCCACATGTTCTCTGGGTCTGCATTCAAGGGTCAATGGCCAAACTCCAAGGCCTCTCCACCCTGCCAAAATTACAGCAGCACTATGACACTTCCCAGAGGCCTCTGTGGCTTCACACACACACTATATTCTGTGTTGTATCCCCATTAGGCTTCTAGTTTGTGTTTTCCCTGTGAGTTTTGTTTCTTTGGGGACCTATGGAATCTTCTGTGGAGCATCCTGGGATGTGAGGCTGTCCTGTGAGATGTTTCTTACAAGTACTCGGGTACCGGCTGGCTGTGGAGTGGGATGTGTGAGGCTGACGTGATACTGTGTTTTCAGAGCTGACTTTTGCCTGTTTTTACAACGTAAAAATGCAGGTCTATGTATAACACTAGAATCATAAAACATTTACTTTTATACTGATGAAGTCCACAAAGAAAGGGTTGTAGAATCCACTTCCAACCAAAGCAGAAGCTACAAAACCAAACAACTTTACACAGAGCTTATATGAAAAATAATGACTACAATCTCATCCAGTACCAACTTGAAATGAGTATTATATACTTCTCTCACTGATGTGTCAAAATACCTGACAGAAAGCAACTTAAGGAAAGAAGGGTTTGGCATAGTTCGGAGTAGTCCATCATGGCTGCAAAAGTGATGTGGTTTGTGGCACCAACCAAGAAGCAAGACAGGAACACTAGCTCTCTACTGTAGGGGGAAATGCTGACCACGCCCACGTGGGGGCTGGCACAGGTAATGATGACCATGAACATTGGGCATGGTCAGAGTGATGTAGCAAAGCTTTAAATGTGAGGGACGCACACATGTGGCTCTCTGTTCCCTCTCTCACCTGGCTGTACAGGTCTGTCTCTGTCTCAAGTATTTCCTAATAAACCATCTGTTTTTCAAACTAGCTCTGAATCCATTCCGATCCGCATTAATTGCCTTCCACTTTAGCTGGTGTCAGATTCTTTCCGCCAAGCCTCCCAAGCCCCGATGCCATGTGGGCACCCAAAGTAACACACAGATTAATTTTAGGTACAATGCTGCTGGCCAATGACTAGGATTTCTTACTTGCTAGCTCAGTCTTAATTATCAACCATAATTATTAATCTGTATTTTTATAAAGACTTAGCTGATTGAGGACACCAGCAGCATGTGTCCTCTCTTGTCAGGCTCACATGGCAGCTCCCAGAGAAGACAGGAAGAGGAAGAGAGCGACTTCCTGCTTGTCCCTGCTTATATTCTGAGTCTGCCTGCTATGTCACTTCCTGCCTGGACCACAAGATTTCTCTTTACTACATTTCCCAGAATCCCCCTCGACTCCTAGTCCCATCTAACTTGCTTCCCTATTGGCCAACAGTACTTTATTTATCAACCAATAAGACAAACATATACACAGAAGGACCTTCCCCATCACTCTACTATCATTCTGTTCCCTCTTCTTCTGTTAAGTCTTGAACCCTTGCCCATAGCATGGATGGTCCTTTCTTCAGTCAAACCTCTCTAGAAATGCCCTCACAAGACACATCCAAGAGTGTTCCTCCTTAATTCCCTAGGTGTTTCCTACTCCAGTCAAGCTGTCAATCAATAGTCTATAACCGTCTCAAAGTAGGAAAGTGTCAAGGAGTCATACCCACAAAAAGAAACCTCAGTGTCCCACTGGGGCCCCACCTTACTATGGTGACAGACCCAGTGACCATACATGGCAAGAGCCTTCAGTGGCCTCAGGGACTTTTCAAGACATTGTTGTTTAGGGCTGGAGAGATGGCTTAGCAGTTAAGAGCACTGGCTGCTCTTCCAGAGGACCAGGGTTCAATTCCCAGCACCCACATGGCAGCTCACAAATATCTAACTCCAGTTCCTCGGGATCAGACACCCTCACAGACACAGATGAGACACATGCATATTTTTTTAAAAAGGACATTGTTGTTTAAAAGTAGAAAGGAAACAGTCATACAGATAGTTACAGTATGAACCCAAGTTTAATGAAAGAAAAAGACAACTTTCATAGGCATAGAAAAGTTCTAGGGCTGGAGGGATAGATCAGCTGTTAAAGGCTAGGCTCACAACAAAAATATAAGAAAAGTTCTAGAAGGGTCTGTAAAAATGGCAAGTTGACTGACAGAGGAAAAGCAGACGTCTATACTAGTCAATAGATTTAATACCTGTTTTAAACTACAAACATGAATTGCCTGAACACATATAAGTATGTTTCTATATACATCTTTAGGATTTTAAACAACCTTGACTTAAGATGGTAGAAAGCCAGGCATGATGGTGTTCATCTGCAATTCTAGTGCTTGAAAAGTAGAAAGAGTTTGAAGTCAGCCTCATCTACACAGTGAGTTCAAAACCAGTCATAATTCTACAAGGAGAGGTGGACATCTTTAATCCCAGCAGAGGCAGGCAGAGCTTTGTGAGTTCAAGGCCAGCCTGGTCTACAGAGAGAGTTCCAGGACAGCCAGGACTACACAGAGAAACCCTGTCTTGAGATACCTCCCCCTCCCACCAACCCCCCCCCAAAAAAAAAAAAAGGCTACAAAGAGAAAATGAGGAACACAGAAACTCTGAGGCAGGGAAGTAAAGTGGGCTTGGGGGAGGGGTATCAACCCAGGCCAGGAGCACAAAACCACCACCCACAGCCAGCCAGGGACCCCAGGACCTGGAGGGGGGAATTAGCTGGAAGGCTTTTACATACCAGGAGGTCCCCATCCTCTTTTTAGTCAGAAGATGATGAAAAAGATAGTAGGGACTAGACAAGAATCCCAGCCCAGGCCTGCACATCGGTGATTCCAGTACTTGAGATGCTGAGGCAGGAGGAATGCCATGAGTTCAGAACAGCCAGGGCTACATAGAAAGATCTGTCTCAACAAAAACCAAAAAGAGCCAAGTATAGTGGCCCAAGTCTGTAATCCCAGCACTTGGGAAGTTGAAGCAGGAAGATCAGGAGTTCAAGGTTATCTTCAGTTACACAGGGAGTTCAAGGCCAGTCTGAACTTGAAAATCTTAGTTGCTGCTGGAACCCACAGTGCCCTCTGTAGAGAGCTCCACACTGCTTTTTGGATACCGAACATGATGGGGACCCTGAGGGTCAGAAAACAGCTAACTTCTCATTCAGTTCTTCACAGAGGCAAGTGGAATACTCTAAGGACATAGGGCCACCAGCAACAAAGGACAGCAGCCAGGCCCCTGGGGAAGGTTTGGGAGACCTACCCTAGCTTAGCTGTCAGGGTGTGAGGAGAGGGGGACTCTCCCTTGGTGAAGTGACTAGAGCCAGCAGAGGTGGCACTCCTGCCGGGGGAAGCAGGTAAAAGCTTAAGACCAAGTCAGGGGCAGGGCAGCCCAGTACTGGCAGAGCCTGGCAACGTAGGGCTCCACAC